TTATTTTTTTTTGTCAACCATTGTCAAAAATGTTTCTTGTAATTCCCAAGTTTCATCCCAAAAACTTTAAAAAGGACGGAAACATCTTACTTTGAATTGTTCTCTGAGTGAGACGTCTATAATGCTATCTAAAATAGTTGCATAGAATTAACTTTTTTTATTTTTTCTATAATTTTATTTTAATATTTATTGACATAATTTTTCTAACAACTCGGTTTGACTTTGTTGAGACAAATAGTTAATAAACATTGGCTCACAATTATCTCCATATTCTTTAACTTTATCTAAATGGTTTTAAAAGTTTCGTTGCAGTGGTTTATTAATTTTGCAACGGAATGAAATATTTCACAGTCACTTTTATCGATCGTTGAGAGTGTTACTCTAAATTTTCTTTGAGTTTGTTCAGTGGTGATTTTACGAGGGGTGTAGGGATTTGACAGTCAAGTGAATTTTGTTTTTTGTTTTTTTTTAGCAACCAGTCGGTACTTTTGAAGAATTCAACTCCCCACCTTCCTCTTATTTTATACGTAGAATCGCCTCTGACTTTGTTAATAAAAAATTACATGTCTTTGTTGATGTTTTTTCTATCATTTACTGCTTTACTTTTATAATAAACATTTCTTAAAGTGTTTTTGGTTGCCTTCGTTGTTAACGTCTTGTTTTTTTTAGTTATTTCCAACACTTTTTCTACAAAAAGCTGATAAATTGTATTCATCTTTTCTCAAAAAGGGACAAAAAAGCTTCCACAAAAAGTTGAAGTAAGCTCCCACTACAAGTCAAAACAAGCTAACTCAAATGAACAACAATAGTAAAACACTTCATAGATCTTTTTTATATTATATCTTAGACTAACATTTATTACAAAGTAATATTTCAAAGTTTCTCTTTTTTCAATTAGTTTTTGAGATTGACACATTTTACGGTTCAGTATATCGGGTTAACCGCTGACAAATTTTAAGTTGAATAAACTAATTTAAACATCGTTTTTTAATCGAGTAAAATAATATTTTTTAATCAGGACTATAATACTATCTATTTTTATATTGTTTTCACTGTAAGATCGCTACATTGAAAAAAAATATATAATGTGTAGCTTATATAGCTAGCGACTAGCTAAGGACAACTCGTAAGGATAAAAATACATAAGATATATCTTTATCCTTAGATACAGAGACGTAGATACAAAGTATAAGATACATAGTTGTACTAAATACACTAGTGGTGTGCGTCAATGTTCTGTCTTAGGCCTATTGGTCTTTGTAATCTTCATTAATGACCTGCAGGAAAGCATCAATCATCATATGAAAGTGTATGCTGACAACAGTCAAATTTTTGGCATAATTAAAAAAAAGTCGGACAGCACAACTCTCCAAGCTGACATCGACAGAGCAGTAAAATGGTCACATATTGGGTTTATACATTCCAATATTGATAAATGCAAAGTAATGCATGTTGGCTGCGCAGATATGCAAACCATCCCAGTATTATAAACATTAAAAACAAATCCAAATTGTATCCTCAAAATATTATATTTCATCAAATTACTCCCGATGATATAACAAAAATTATTTATTCTTTAAATAGTAAAAAGAAGACTAGTAGAGATATTCCAACGTTTATGTTAAAAACTAATGTCATGGATTTTAGAGATAGCCTCACTTCTTGTATAAGTAATTGCACATCCCAAGGCGAATTCCCGTCCTTCTTAAAAACGGCCGAAGTCATACAATGATTTAAAAAAAATGACCCTACTGATAAGAGTAATTTCCGCCCAATAAGTATTCTGCCAGTTCTCTCAAAAGTGTTTGAAATCGTAATTTACAAGAAAATGCGAGTTTTTATAGAACCAAGTCTTAACAAATTGCTCTGTGGATTTCGGAGAGGGGGTTAGTGCACAACACGCACTTTTTAATTTAATTAATAAGTGGCAAGAATGCTTAGATAAAGGAGGTATACTTGGCGCTATGCTTATGGATTTATCAAAGGTATATAATTTAATTCCACATGATTTGCTTATAGCTAAGTTAGAAGGTTATGGTTTTTCTTACGATAACCTCAAACTCTTATCATCTTACCTTTTTGCTCGCAAACAGAGGGTAAGATTAGGATTGTCATTTTCTAAATATTTAGATATGGTGTACCTCAAGACACAATTTTGGACCAATTTTCTTTAATATTTTTATCAACGATTTTTTTTTAATTTATAAAAGACTCTGAAATCTGCAACAATGCTGATGACAACACTCTTTCTGTTTGTGATAACAACATAGAGAGTGTTATTGCTCGTCTTCAAATAGAAACATCAAATGTGATTTCATGGTTTACTTTGAATAAAATGGTTGCAAATTCAGACAAATTTCAATTTATTTCTAGCTGACCTAAAAAATTGTAAAGATTAGTTTTTAATGGTTGGGAATGTAAAAATCATGGTTTCCTGTAAGGTTAAACTTCTTGGGGTTACAGTTGATAAGGATTTGAAATTTGATGATCATATTAAAAGTTTGTGTGGAAAAGCGAATAGTAAATGCTTTGCTCTTTCACGAATAAGGAGCTTCTTATCAGTAAAACAAGCTACTGTTTTATTCAATGCTTTTATACAGTCAAATTTTTCTGATTTGGATGTTTTGTTTGAAGTATAATAATAACCTAATTAATAAAATTCATCAAAAAGGACTTTGCATTGTCTATAAAAGATTTGATCTCCCATTAGAAGAAATTGAAAAAATAGAAAATATCCTAAGTATCCATCTTAGAAGTTTAAAGTTTTTGTTAACTGAAGTTTTTAAATCTAAAAATAGTTTCATTCCAGAATTTATGTTAGATCTTTTTATCAAAAAATCCCTGCCGTTAAGTTTTCACTTTAGCAAAAAATTAGTACTCCCATCCATAGTCTTTAAACATTAGTTCATAAAAAGTAACTTATATAGAGCAACCTCGCTATGGAACTCCTTTGACAATGAAACTATAGTCAATAAGTTGACTATAGATGTTAAAAAAAAAGTATTTTAAAATGGTACGGAAAATCTTGTTTTAAAACAAGATTTTCCATATCATTTTTTGTAAAATCTGTCAAAAATAATTTTTTTTATTTTTTGTTTTTTACGTCAAAAATAACCAATATGTTGTATTTATTGACATTTATATTATTTACTATGTAAATTATTATTTTTTTTTTTTACTCACGATATTAGTTTATACTAATTATAAAACTATTGTAAACAATCAACTGAAAATGAAGTTTTAAATAAATAAATAAATGAAATTTAACAAGTCGACGCACGAATACTCAATGGCTAACGTCGACGTCACGCGTTGTCCGCTTGAAAAGACTGTAGTCGAGCGAGACCAAGGTGTGATGATATCAAAGGACCTAAACGTCAGACCACAAGAAGAGTCATCCGCATCAATAGCGAATAGAATACTAGGGCGACTCAAAAAAACAATTCGCAGTCGCAGTTCTTATTTATGGCGCACACTTTATCTCATTTACATTTGCCCCCACTTTGAGTTTGCTGTGCGAGTCTAGTTGCCGCATTTAAAGTCCGACATAGCTATCATCGAACAAAGTTTAACCAGTATGGTATTGCTTATCGTGCGCCATACTTTGGAATAAAGTTGTTTTGCCAAAATTTGATATATTTTACACTTTTCAAATTTTCAAACATAAACTCAAAAATTTTATTTTATTTTCCGATGACATAATAAGGTTCTTCTAATTGTAATTATGTACCTTTATTAAGAACTTTTTTAATTGCAAAATACGTTTTATGTTAACTTTAAAATACGTTTTATGTAACGACTCTTTTTGTTTTACTTCTCTGTTTATTTTATATATAGATTATATACATTGTAAATAATTATGCTAAATGCTTGTAAAAGGTTCTGATGATAAGATCAGTACGATCTTCTTTCAGAAACCTTGTTAGTATTTGTTAAAGTATTGTATTACGACAAATGTAAATTTAAAATGTAAAAAAAAAAAAAAAAAAAATCATTATGCAAGTCCAATATTGAGCAATAAAAACAATATAATATGTTTAACACCTGTCCAATGAAAATTGACTTCAACAGCTTGGTTAAGTATTATGCTTTTGCATAACCTTAACATAACATAACAACACTTAACGAACGTCGTAAAAAAGCAGACCTTATTGAGCAGTTTAAAATTACGAAGCCAACTCGAACTTATCAGTTTTTTTGTCCTGAAAAAACTTTCAAACAGTAAAACCAAGTATTCTTTGATAGGGCATAACCCAATGTACGAAATTGTAAAGAATAACATAAGTTTTTTTTAAATAGAGTTGTTATCCCATGAAATGCGCTTTTCCAAACAGCAGTGAACACTCCATCAATCAATGCTTTCATAAACAGCAATACAAAGTAACTTTTAGAAAGACAACTACCTCTTTGTCTGTAGAGTCTGTGTTTTTATTTTCGTCAGCACAGAGGGGCCTGATGTAGCATCTTTTGCTGACGAAATCAAACTATAAATTTATTGTAATTGCTTTTATTTTGATCACTGAATTAAAGAAAAAAAATTAAAAAATGATCTGTTTTGAGGTACTCGCTCATGGAATCTTGAATTAAAAATTCAGGAATTGTGTGTTTGTACATCAAGAAAATTAGTATCAAAACTATCAGAAATTTTAGGAGTTATAGAAATATCTGATTATGTTTCATCTGTGAAAATTTATTAAAGTATTTTTAACAATGCAAGGATTAAATAATCCTTTGTTTGTTCATCATTTGCTTAACTATGCTAACATGTTTTTATATTGGCGCAAATTTACGCATAAAAACATTACGTTTAAAATGCGTTTTATAAATAAGGAAGTATGATTTAGTAACGAAATTAATTTGTTATTGTTTTCAAATACTTACCAATTATAATATAGGAAAAAGGAAGTAATTAAAACAAAAGAAAATAGTTCAATAAATTCTTTTTTTTATAGCATAAGCAGAGCAAATAAATATTTATCGAGAAAATTTTTTGTTCATTTTTTCCTTTAAATGAAGCTTAATTCCGATTGCCATTTTTTGACAGATAACTCGATGTTTTTCTTTTTTGCTAGCAAATTCAAAAACATAAAAGTTTTATCTTTAGCATGCCATTTGATTGGACCATTATAACTTACAAGTTTTAAATGTAATCAGATTAGTATTTTTGTTCCATGTTAAATCAACTGAGTGATCAGCATGAAAGCAAGTAACGGTAACACTATCAAATTTTTATTAAACTTTGTGCCTGTGTGAAGATATATATGTGTATATGTGTGTGTGTATATATATTCATAAATAAGATGTTAAATGAGATAAAAGGTAATAGAAGTCTAAATATCTTGCATATTTTTAAGAAACGACGTCAAAATAAATTAGTTAAAAAAAGTTTAACATTTTTTCAAATTTCTTTATCTAGTAAAAAAAGTTTCAATTTTTTTGGCTACTTTTTCTGAAAATTTACTCTTAATCATTAAATATCATCGAGTATTGCTAAAAAACTAAAACCAAAAAGGAACCTGCTCACAAATTTGAATGTATAACGGTTTCATAAGTGTCTTTTTTTTTGTTTAATCTGTTTTAGTTGTTTTTTTAAGTAGAATTTTTTTTTAATATGGAGAACTAGTTACGATATGAGATTTTTCAGCTAGTTTCCTTTTTGAAAGATAAAGTTTCGGAATTTGAAGTATGTCTACAAATGCAGTATCAGTAGCCTTTGAAAAGTTTAATTTGGCTTTAATTTATCATACTATTTAATCTCAGGGTAGTTAACTCTGGCGGCTGTAAAATTCCAGCTGGCGCAACTCCGTGATAAGATACGCTTGGTTTCAGTAGCATGTTAAAACATGTCAAGAGTAGGGTTTAATTCTGTGAAAATGATTATACTATTTATCAAAACACAAAATTGAGATATTAAATTTTTTTTTGTGGTTTCGCTTTTGTAGTATAATAATACTATACTATTATTTAGTATCATATATATCATTATTTTATCAGATTATGATATTACATTTTTGTAACGAATGTCAAAATATTAATAAAACACGTGTTAAACTCGAGTAAAAATTCCTGTGAAATCAACATTTTTTTGGTTGTTTAAGAGTACGCGTCTATAATACGGGTTTTAATTTCGAAAGTGAAACAAGATAAGTCTTCTGGTCATAGAGTTCAAAGTGAACCTTAAGAGTTTATTACTGTTTTCACTAAAAAACACATGGATTAAATGAAGAAATTTTGGTTGCTCTAAAACCTGAAGCATAAATAAAACCTGTTAGATATGCCTCATTATTCCATATTTTCTGAACATATTAAATATTTCCCACTAAAGCATTATTTGTGATTAAAATTTTCTTTTTACATGCACATAAAATTTTTGTTTTCACTTATTTTCCTCACTTATCACAGATGAAACACAGATTTTTTTGTAGATGAGATAACTTCTAATGGTTAATGGACACGAGCCAGACTCAACACAATTAAAAATTTAATTTGACTTAAAGTCCCCCGGTGTCGTTGGCACTGTGATAAACTTGTTTTGAAAAAAAATTAAGCAATAGGAGCCATTTATTAATAAAAAAAATTTTTTAACAAATGTAAAAACATTCTAAAAAAACTAACCACAGATGCAAAAAGATCAAATTTGGTTGTATAGATGATTTGACGTACCATTGTAAAGTTATCTCTGCCAAATTAAACAAAGCTCTTTGCATATTACTTCAAATAAAATATTTTGAAGAAAGAAAAAAATTTAAATTAATTTACTATGCTTTATTATATTTTAAATCCATTTATTTAACCATAAATTTTCAGACATAAAAAAAAAGCTCCTTATTTAATTGCTATAATAAACATTAAAACACTAATAGGAAAACCATCAATGTGCTGCAATATAGCTTTATTTATACTCTTAAATTTTACAACTGTTGATAGAATCTTAAAAGCTGTAAATTTAAGAGTATAAATATGGTAGTAAATTTATTAAAAAATATGGGTAGTTAGGTTATTAAAAAAATTCTATGGTACATCTCTCAAAGCTACCATAAAATTTTTTGAATAACCTTACTACCCCTTGGTCTCAAAGTCATTTAACTGAATTTTAAAACCTTCGTTATAATAGGCAGTGATCTTATGCACTAAAGAAATATAAAACTTAAGAGTTGATTCAGGAAGTTATAAGTTTATGGTTAATGCAAAATGATGTAACATAACATTTTCTAGTAACAATAAGGTGTACTCTAGCTGCTAAGGATGTACAAAAATGTACAATGTACATTGGGACAATGTGCTTATCAAGTGTTTTTCTTATTTAATTATTGATATTGAGGTTACTTTAGTTAAGATAATATAGTTTTTAAAAATCAGTATTGACTTTATTTAAAATGGATCCTATTTGTTTGAGATAAACAATAATCAATTATTCAGAATTTCAAGCTTTTTATGTATATATATGTATATATATATATATATATATATATATATATATATATATATATATATATATAT